TTTCGGCCGGAGGAGGCTCGTTGGCGGCGGTGGAGTGACGACGGAGCATCAGGGGACCGGCGTGCACCCGTGGGTGACCTCGGCTCAAAGATGGCCCAAGGTGACCTGGCCACATGCGTGCGCTGGCCACCCGCAGCTGCATCACCGGCGGCGAAGCTATGGCGGTGGAGAGAGTTGGGGAAGGGGCGCTGTGAGCTTGGCACGGCATGGCAAAGGTGGTGATGCACGCAGCCGTGGCTATGGTGGGGAGTAGAGGCAGGAATGGCAGCGGCGATCGGAGCTCCATCGGCCGTCCATGGCGTCCGCGCGCTGCGCATGTGTAGGGGCGAGGGAGAGCGCAGAGGGAGTGGAGAGAGTGAGGGAGAGACTAAGAGAGGGCTCGGACGTCCGCTCATAGAGGAGCAGGGGCGCGACCACACGGCGCAGAGGTGGGGCGCTGCTGCCTTGCATGGTGGCCATGCGCCTAGACACATGGCGTCGTCTGGGGCATTTCCCCGAGCAGGTGACGGGCAACGATGTGGCCAGCTTGGGATCCATTTTTGGGCTGGCTGCGGTTGGATTTGGGCCATAGGCCTTGAAACAAAGTTGTTCCTTTCCTGATGCTCTCCAACTCATATTTAGGGTGCTCGGCCATTAGAGCAACAGATTAGTGGGTAATTAGTGCCCAACATGATAATGTCAGCGCGTTGACAGCGATGAGCAAAAATCCAAATTGATGGTCAAAACAAAGTCAAACTGGTGCCATCTTTTTGCATGCTCTTCCCCAAAACATATAGTTCAACTTTTATATTTGGCTCAACTTGAGTTGCTTAACAAAAATCCGAGAACGCGAGATGCCAATCATCATCCACATTTTAATCTCAGACTTGGCCAAATTTTTAAGATCCAAAACAACATCGGGTTCAGCTTTGAGGCCTCGGTTTGACTAAGTTAGGGACCAAACTAGCTCTTGACCCTTAAACAAAGTTTGTTGTACACCTCTTGTTCTGCAACTTTGCTTAAAGGATCATGGACTGATTTAGCTTGGTTAGGAAGGTACAATTCTCCAAATTGGGGTACACAAAACTAAAACCGAGATTCAGTTAACTCCTAGAAATAGTTAGTCTTTGCTGATTTTGAAACTAACTTTGAAGATCCAAATGAACTCCAAACTTGATGAGACTTGCTTCATTGTTTCTAGCACAAAGTATACTTTAACTCATATTAAGGAATCTAGTTGAGTTACCATATTAATTTGGAAGATAAGAATGTCACAACATGTCAACTCGCTGTTGTCAATCAGGGACAAAGAGGGGCCAAAATAGTACTACATTCAAACTTGAGGCCACTATTCAAGCCAATTAGGAGTTGAATCGGGCTTGGTCCAAAAATAAATTTTGTTGTACTCCATTGAAACTTCAACTTTTATTTAAGGTCAAACTTCATAACTTGTTTCCACATGGTTATTTGACCTTGGTCAAAGTAGCACCACGATAAACCCTAAATTAGAGTTTTAGACCGATTGAGGCATTTTTTTGACATTTGCTCAATACGAACCCTTCATGACTTTTGTTGTAGAGTTCAATTAGAGTCATTTGGGCAAGGTAGCAAGGTTTGGTCGACATCCCATATTTCTATTCACTTAATAAAGCAATTCAAGCAAGGTTATAACTTATCATTTCATGTGACTTATTGGCTCCAAACTTCAGGAAACTTTTCCAATAGTCAATGTAGATGGAAATGGATGTGAGGCACATGAAAGGGATACTTTTAACATTACTCAGGCATACCTCTAAAAAGGGTCAACATAGAAGCAAAGGTGTGTTGTCCAAGTTTAAGTTGGGCTCATTCTTAGAGAGTTGATCCCAACACCTTTGTCACAAAATACAAGTTTGAACTAGAGCTCTTGATTACCACTAAACTTGTCATGTTGGAGCTCAAACCCACTGCTTAACTGGTGACAAACACCTAAGGTGTTAAAGAACTCTTCAAGCCACATGCCAGGGTTGGAGTCCCCAGAGTATTTGATAATGTTAGGCGGTGCACGGAACCACGCCAGGAATGGCGCTTGCTGAATCCTTCTATCAAACGCTTGTGGACCCCAGGAGTCTAGGCTTGGACTGTGATGAGCGTCCTAGTTAGGCCAATGTCACTCATGGCCACAGGGATTGCTGGCGGGGCCATGCTAATGATTGCGGTCTACTGTGCCAAATTCATGACGTCGGGCATCGGGGGCCGAGCGAGCATTGTAGTTGCCGCCAAACCGGTTACATGCCGGGGAAATCTTGCACTCATGATCCGCTGTGTTCCCGGCGGGATTGGTAGCTTCCATGCGGTGCCCACCGGGGTACCATGACCGCACGAGCTAGGCTGGCCACTGGCCTCGGGCCATCGCCAGTCTGCCGAGCTTTATGCTTGTTGCACAGCATTGTCTCCAGCAGGCCTCGGAACTCCTTGTGGATGCGCTTGCCCTCGTTGTCCACCGGATTGGGCGCTATACAAATGATCATCGCTGCTGCTACGATGTTCTGGCTGGCTCGGGGGAAACTGGCATTTTGCCCTCGCCTTGCTGGATCTGGCTAAAAACATGGCAGGCCCTAGCTCATGCGCCAGTCACGCTGAGGTGGTGCACGCTCTGGTATTCCTTGCCATCGCGTCCGTTTGCTAGATCGGCCTCATGAGCCCTAGCCCGCTCTAGCCTCTCCTGGTCGTGTGCCGGCTGTTTCCTCCACGGTTTGCTAGATTGGGGCCATGCCATCCTCTGCCATAGCCTTGTTCCCCAAGTCATGCAACATGTTGCATTCTCACGAGGGATGGCTGCTCCTCGCGGAGCTAGACTCGGAGTTTGCAGCGCTTGGGGACAATGGCAAGAGGTCGTAGAAAGACTCGGGATCATGTTCCACCATCCATATGAGCTCGAAGGTGTCGGGAATCAACGAGGAGCACGCGCGCCACGCCAGCTCTTGCTCAAAGAGTTCTGAAGTGTTCCTCAGACCATAGGGTAGCGTGACACAGGGGTCCTAGAATTCGGTCTCCGGGGGCATGGGCTGACCCCTGAGATCTGAGAAAAGGTGTTGGCCAATGCATAAAAGGTGTGCTGGCTCTACTCTGGCTCGGGGTCAGGCCTGAGGTGAGCTTGATTCGATGCGCCAGCGCGTCCGAATCGATAGTCGTAGGGCCACTGCATAGGGGCGCGGGGTCCTACGGTGGAGTCTACGGTGGGGGCATGGCCCTTTCACAGAGGTGCAGCTGACCTAGGCACCACAAAGTCTAGGTCCCCAAGGCGAAAAGCCTGATCAGGGCGCCAACGTCGATGAACTCGAGGCTCCCAAAGCCGATGCGGCCGCTGGGGCCTCACCGAGAGCGAGTTCGATGTAGGTGCAGGGTGCCATCGACTTCCTTATCACTAACGTGAGTGCGTGACTTCCCCTACCTGGCACGCCAATTGTCGGTGTTTCGAGGACCGACTAGTAAATTTAGCACCACGCTGCTCTAGGAGTCAATGGAAACACTTGAGACACGGGGGAATTATACTGGTTCAGGACGGAGCCTTACGTCTAGTCTCAGAGGGGTTCGAGTTTGTGTTCCTCGGTTCAAGTGCTCGAAGGGCTTACAACAGGAGCGCTCGTAAGCGTGTGTTTTGGAAATAGAGGATTCAAGATGGCTAAACATATCTCTAGAATGAAGGCCCAACTCCCCTTATATACTCTTGGGGGCTGGGTGACAATCGAAAGGGATAGCCGACCTGAGTGGTCGAGATCTCAAGGGGAGGGTAGCGGTTGGCAAGCTCAGTTCGTGGGCCCTCTGTGTCTTGTCCCTGTTGCGAGTTCGAGTATTGTCCTGGGTTCTTGTTCCTCAAGTCAAGGTATGATATGCCATAGTGGCACTGTGGCCATCAACTTGTTGTCTTGTATAACGTGGGTGCATAGTGCGTGTCATGGCCTTCGTCCTTGCACCCGTTATCCCAGGGGGAGCATAGTGGCGCCAGTGCGTGAACAGGGTGTCCATCCTCTGCTGATCGTCAGCCTTCCCGGTCTGGTGGCGTTGTCCTTGACCACACGCGGTCTGGTCAAGGGCTCTTTGGCCTGGCTGGTTCCGAGCAGATTGGCTCCTGGCTATGTGACCCATGTCTGTGGTAGGCACGGCTGTACATCTACTCGCCGAGTCGGGCAGAGGTTGGGCGGTCCCGAGCCTTGCTCTGACATTGCCCTGTCACGGAGTGGACTCCTATCTTCATGAGGGGTGCAGTCCGAGGGGTGATGCTTCACCTCAAGCCCCCGTGGTCCGAAAGGTGGTCGATGTATCATAAGGCCCCGCGGTCCATCGAGTGGTCGACGCATGCCAAGACCCTGCGATCTATCGAGGGGTCATCGTCCTTCTCTGTCTTGAGAGGGTGTGCGGTGCATGCGCATCCCATTGTGGCAGGTGCATCAAATGCGCCATCCACCCCTGGGCCTATCCGTACTCGGCTGGTCGAGGCCAGGGGTGGTCAAGGTGGGCTGTGGACTGCGTGGTCGGGGATGAAGAACGGTTGAGGCAGGCCACAGATGCTGGGTTGCGGCCAGCTAGGCCGCCGAAGTGCTTTGTTGTCCGCATCATGGGGCACCCCGAGTATTTGCCCCCGACAAGTAGTTATAAATCGGGCCCGACCAGACCAGCACAGTGCCAAGATAGCAGCTTAGGCACGACCCTCTCATCGGGCCAGGCCAGCACGGGCCTAACGGCCACCGGGCCGTGCAGTGATTGGGCCGGCCCAAAAGCTCGGGCCCCAGGCCATCATGCCTCGGGCCTTTGGCCAACTATAGGTCCAGGCATATATTCTTCGAAATGCAGCATTCTAGAAGACAGGGGTGGGACCATTGACGGTGATATCGCAGCTGTGCAAGAAAGCTAGCTTCCACCTAAAAAAGAAAGGTAGATAGGCACCAGTCTCGAGGTTAATTAATTTGCTATTCTTTCCCAATCATCAATCACAAAGTCCCACCAACTGCATACGGCCTCCTCCGCCTCCGCCGGCCGGCATGATGGCGTCCGGCGGCGAGCCCCCAGCTACGAAGGTCGTCCTCCTTCTCGTCCCCCGCGTGGACGCCTCCTTCCACGCCGCTCTGCGCGAGCGCTTCCACGTCCTCGACTTCTTCGCCTCCTCCGAGCGCTGGCCGCTCCCGGCCTTCCTCGCCGCCGCAGCGGCCGCTCCGGAGCCCCCTCGGGCCGCCATCGTCGTGGGGGCGGGGCTGATCCCCGTGGACGCCGCGTTCCTCGACGCAGTCCCGTCCCTCCGCTGTGTCATGTGCCTGGCGGCGGGCGTGGACTTCATCGACCTGGACGAGTGCGCGCGCCGCGGCGTGGTCGTCGCCAACTCCGGCAGGGTGTTTTCCGCCGACGTCGCCGACCACGCCGTGGGCCTGCTCATCGACGTGCTCCGCCGCGTGTCGGCTGCCGAGCGGTTCGTCCGCCGCGGCCTCTGGCCGGTGCAGGGGGACCACCCGCTCGGCTCCAAGATCGGTGGCAGGCGTGTCGGCATCGTCGGCTTGGGGAACATCGGTTCACAAATCGCAAAGAGACTCCAAGCTCTCGGCTGCACCGTCTGCTACAACTCTAGAACACGCAAGGATTCGGTCCCTTATAAATACTTCACCAACGTTCACGACCTCGCGGTGGAATCCGACGTGCTCGTCGTCGCGTGCGCGCTGAACAAGGCGACGCGGCACATCATAAGCAAGGATGTCCTGGAGGCGCTAGGAAAGGACGGGGTCATCGTGAACATCAGCCGCGGTGCGAACGTCGACCAGGCAGAGCTGGTCAGGGCGCTGAAGGAGGGCAGGATCGCAGGTGCCGGCCTCGATGTCTTCGAGAACGAGCCCGGAGGGCCCGGCGAGCTCTTCGCCATGGACAATGTCGTCATGACGCCTCATGTGGCGGTTTTCACGGCGGAGTCCATGTCGGACCTGCGCGACCACGTCGTTGCTAACCTTGAAGCCTTCTTCTCCGGTGAGCCGTTGCTTACGCCGGTGCTTCCCCACTCACCGGTAAATTAGCAAGTCATGGTGTTCCGCTGCCAGTACGTGATTGAGCCAGCAGATTATTAGCTCTGTTTGTAACTTGGCACTGTTTAAACTTCTCATAATGGATTTGTGGTCTGTTTTTTTTTTTTTTTTTAAAGCAAAGGATTTGTGGTCTGTGGATCGTCGCTTAGCTTGGACACCGTGAAAAATCCATCACCACAACATAAACAAGCAAGCTGCAACATCTGAACTCTGTTTTCAGCAACGCTGTAACATCAGTAAGACAGTAATCTGCATCTGTTTCTGAAGATTCAAGCAAACATCACAACAACCTATTCAAACCATTCAGATTACATCAACTTTGAACCTCTGGATTTATAACTTAGAGACCCCGCGAAAAGTCGAACACCATAACATAAACAAGCAGCCTCGACATCTGAATTCTGTTTTCAGCAACACTTCAGACTTGTGGAACAAGAGTAATCTGCATCTATACATATCTATATACACAGGAAATGTATTTTTATAAGGTGACTTTAGATTTTGTGCGCTTCTATATGGAGCAAATCAAATATATTTCTCAAACTTTATTTAAGTGGGAATATCTTTCTCAAACATTTTTTATTGGGATGAACCTTTTTCCTTGTACAGCTTGGGCTTTGTTCGTACTAAGAGGACTTCTTTTTAAATGTGAATTAGATTTTACTGCTCCGTAATATTTTCTTATGTAATGCAAGCCACATTTTTTCTCACGAAGTAAAACATTTTTTATTGAACAAAACATTTTTAGTTATTACATGGGGATCTCTCATTTTTAGTTGCAATTGTAAGAGTTAAGCCTTTGTTTGGTAGGGCTCCTACTAAACTGTTTGATAGGACTCCTCCGCTGGAGCCGGAGCTAGAATCTGGGAGAAACCTACCAAACAGGGCCTCACCTTGAACTCGTTAGAGGAACATGATGAAGATGGATTATGGCTAGTCCTCGCCTTGAAATCCTAAACTAGATATTGATGCTTACTTGCTTGTGCACCATGTTCTGCGCTGAGGCCTAAGCAGGCACCTGCCGTACCACCATAGCTAGATTTTTTATGCTTTACTTCTTTCTGTTTAAATTTATGATCAGGCAATATTTGGATCATCTTCTACAATACTATTCAAAATAGGTCTCCTATTTTCACGAGGCTATTTTCAGCTGTGGTCTCCAACAACAACCCTCAAATCAGGCCTCCCAAATTCATCCTAATAGGCACGGCCACGTGGGACCCACTTGTCATTCTCTATTCTTCCTTTTTTTCTTCGCTCTATCAACTAAGCTTGCGTACCACGCTTCATGGGAGATCGTGTGCCAGAGTCCACCACAAGGACGAGGGTTGATGGAGAGGCAATGTCTGGGGAGGGAAAGAAGGTACTATCGGCTCAGGGCCGCGGGGCAGGAGGGGGCGACTTAGTGGGCGTGGAGGCGTTGGCTGCCTTGGGACGGCTGAATCCGTCCTCACCAGACCTAGAGAAGGGGCCGACGGTACTGGGTGGTGCCACGGCGAGGTAGGCATCTCACGGGGTGGAGAAGGGCCAGCGACGGATATGGAGGTGTGGCCAGGCTCAACGCAGCTGGATCCGACGGCAGCAAGGGGGGGCGATGAAGCGAGCATGGGAGGGAGTAACCGTGGGCCACCTCAAATGGAACTACATGATGATAGTAGATGTGGGGAGCTCTTGGAAGCCATGGAGATGGTAGAAGAGTGAATGAGAAGCAAATAAGGCGACTTTTTTTTTTCATACAGAATCAATTTATACAATCTTAGCATTTCTAAATACTAGACACTAAACAGTTGGTTAACTACAATTTAGTCATCATTCGAGCTAAACCCCCGTGAAAATAGATGAAAGAACCGTTTAAACATGGTAATAATAACTGACTAAACAAAATTAGTGTATCACCGCATATAGCATTTAAACGGGTTAAATGTTGTTTAAACAAAAAAGTGATCCTAGTTTGACTGTGCTCTAGGACAGATACAAACTAGTATCTATCTCGGATGTTAAGTCAAAACACTGAAAAAGAAAATTGTTGAACAATTACATTGTGGCACCGATGTGCCTTCTTCCTTGCACGTTCCTTTGATTGCCAATATATCCTTTGCCCCTAAAAAAATCTCTGAAATAAAAAAATATCACCAGTTTGCAACATGATACTTATGTTTTATACTATATATTGAGTAATCAAACAAGTTTTTTTATAGTTTTGTCACCATTCAAAATAATACTTATTTGTGAACCGGGATAGAAGGAACAATATATTACTCTCACCATTTTAAATTATACGGTAGTTGTCATTGTCTTAAGTCAAACTTTTCTTATGATGTCTTTGTCTTAAGTTTAACGGTGAGATATAGTACACAAATATCTGTAGCATTAAATTCGCCATAAAATATATTTTCAAAGCGTATATTTGATTAAACTTGTAGATGTTAATGTATTTTTTTTAAAAAAACTTAATAAAAAAAAAAAGGGATCTGATTTAGAATAAAAACTAAAGTGAAGTATGAATTAGAAAAAGAGGTGCCCCTTTGATGAAAATAAGGTATAACAAAGTTTTTTTCCTAAAGAATCTCCAATTTTTATATGTCATTTCATAATTTCTTTTTCAAATCATGAATTTACTTAGTATGGGGGGTGACTAAGTATGTGTTTGGTTCTGGAGTTCATCGGGATGGAACGGGCAATCCCTATTTTACTAGTGTTTGGTTTTGATTTAAATAGGGATAGGTCCATTCACAAGAGGAATATTGTTATATGTGTTTGGTTCTGGAGTTCACCGGGACGCAACGGGCGATCCTTATTTTACTAGTATTTGGTTCTAATTGAAATAGGGATAGATCCATTCTCAAGAGGAATATTCTTTCAAGATTTGGGTGAACCCGTCCCTTCAAGTCAAGGGGACAAGCTCATCACCGATTGATGCCGTGGAAGTCCGTTTTGGCACGTGGTGCTTCCAGATGTGGGCTTCAGCTTCGGCGACGTGACCATGGGTGGTGCGGCATGGTACCAAGGCTCAATGAGTGATGTGGAGCACGGCGAGGGAGAGGGACTAGCGACATGATGTTGGTTCTTGGCCATGGTAGCCATGTGGTCAACCTTGAGAAGGAAGCCTAGGGCAGAGGCAATCGCAACGAGTGATCGGTGGAGTAGTGATAAGTGGTCTGGAGCCAACGAGTTGAGGTAAGGACCATGGAGTCGTGGTCAGGGGTGGGAGGGAGATGTGGTCGGGGACGTGGAGCCACAATCCAGCGGGGAGGCAGAACACCGAGGGCGCGACTTCGACGGGGAGACAGAGACGATGGGAAGTTGCAGTGCCGACAAAGGCGAGCGACTGAGGACAAAGAAGCTCGGTGCCTGGAGGAAGAAGAAGATTGAGATCATGACGAGTGGGCTCACGAAAGACATGTGAGACCCACTGACAAATGTGGATGATGATACTAAAATGACATCCATTTCTATTCTTTTTCTATCCCTCGTATCAAACAAAAACAACGATGGACCTATTCTTCTAATTAAATATAGAGATAAGATGATTTCATAAAAAACAGAGATGGAGCCATCCTATCTCAGCTTGTCCGAAAACCAAAGATGGCGAGACGTTAAATGGTTGAGCCTGTTAGAAAAAAGAGAATTTTTCCCTATTTGATGTCGAAAAAACTTCCTCTCCTCTATTTAACACCCAAAGTTCAAATCTTCCCTATTTATCTACTCTTGAAAATTTTCTTCCCTAACTAACACTTCCGTTAGTTTGGGCATGTAGCGGTGTTAGCTCTAAGGGGAAAGGACATTTTGCCCTTCCTTTATTTCCCAGTCTTCTACGCGCCTATTTTCTTTCTTGGAAACATTGTTTTGTCATTCTAGGATATTTTTGCGCCATATTTTTTTCCTGGTAGCACCATTTTTTACGCGCCTATTTTTTCCCTGATAATATTTATTTATTTCCATTCCAAAACCGACATCAAGCATCGGATGTGTGTGTGTGGGAGCTTTAGAAATGGGGGCATGGCAACAACTGCTACTTCGGGTTGCTTATCACCATGTGTAGTAAATGGAACGAAAAAAATGAGAACAAAAAAATGGTGCTATCAGAAAAAAAAATGTGACGCCAAAATATCATGTTAGTAGCCGGTAAATGGAACGAGAAAAAGAGAACTGAAAAAATGGTGTTAAAAGAAAAAAAAATTGGTGCCAAAATATCCAGAAATGACAAAAAAAAAACGTTAACAAAAGAATGAGCGCCTAAGAAACAAACTGCCTGTAAAACAAAGCAGGGGCGAAATTATCCTTTTCCCTTAAATTTAACACCGTTACATGCCTAAACTAACGGAAATGTTAGTTAGGGAAGAAAATTTTTAAGAGTGGATAAACAAAGAAGATTTGAACTTTGTGTGCTACTAAATCCGTTTCAAATTATAATTCATTTGACTTTTTTTTTACCCCAAATTTTACCACTCGTCTGATTTAAAAATTTGTGCTAAATATCACTTCTTTTGTTGCGATTTGCTTTATTAACAAAAGTTCTTCAAGAATGACTTAAATTTCACTATTTTTGCATAAATTTTTTGAATAAGACGAACGATCAAATTTAAGATTAAAAAAGTCAAATAAATTATAATTTAGAACTATGAGAATAAACAGAGATGAGGAAGTTTTTCTGACATGAATTTTTGGAGGAAGGCTTAACCACTACTGGGGCCTTGTTTAGATTGTAAATTTTTACAACCTGTATACTGTAGCACGTTTCGTTTGTATTTGACAAACTTTGTCTGATCATGGACTAATTATGCTTAAAAGATCCGTCTTGTGATTTACAACCAAACTATGTAATTAATTATTTTTTTACCTATATTTAATACTCCATGTATATGTCAAAAAAATTAATGTGACGAAGAAAAAGTGAAAAAACTTCAATCTAATCTAAACCAGGCCTGGTAGTAGCCGACCCACGACGCCTGACCGTTACTGATGCATCGGAGTATCCGACGGCGTCACGG